TGGAATTAACAGTTTTAGAACCTATCTTAGTCCTTTTAGGACTAGGAATAGCCACTTTAGCCAAACACCCCCACACTTTTAAGTATTTGTAGGATGATACTCTCTCATGCCACATCTCATAATGTGTTTGATTCATTTTCTTTCGGAGTACTTTATTAAGAATATAATTAGAAGAAAGTATTGCTTCCCCTCACAAATTCTGAGGTAATCTAGAACTTATCAACATGACATTCATCATTTATTTTAAAGCCCTATTTTTCTTTTCAGCAATTCCATTTTGCTGGGGTGAGTAAGGACTGGTGGTTTGATGAATTATTTCATGTTCTTTACAAAACTCATCAAAAGGTGATTCATATTCACCACCTCTATCACTTCTTAGTTTTTTTAATTTTCTCACCAAGTTGATTTTGAACTTCATTCTTACATTGAATGAAAGTTTCCAAAACTTCATTCTTGGTTCAAATTAAATAAACATAACTATATCTAGTATAGTCATCTATGAAAGTGATAAGATATTTTTTCCCACCTCTAGTTTGAATGGATTTAAAATCACAAATGTCACTATGAATTAATTCAAGTGGTTCTGTATTTCTTTCAATTGAATGAAAAGGAGTTTTAGTTAATTTTGTTTCAACACAAATTTCACATTTATGATTTGGATCAATTTCAAATTTAGGTAAACATTCTATATTAATTAATTTACGCGAAGATCCATAATTAACATATCCTAATCTACCATACCATAAATTAGAAGACTCAAGAAAGTAAGAAGAAGATGTGTTTTTATTAATCATAAGAGAAACAATTGTCATAAATTCATTTTGAAAAGGCCATCATTCATATAACATTTTCCTATATACATCCCATTTTTAGTAAGTATAAATTTGTCATTTTCAAAAACTAGCCTGAATCCATTCTTACTCAACAAAGATCTGGAAACAAGATTTTTGCGAATGTCTGGTAAATGCAACATATTATTAAAAGTGAGTTCCTTTCCAGATGTCTTCTTCAGAATAATCTTTCTTTGTCCTTCGATTTTAGAAGTCGAGGAGTTGCCCATGAATAGTTATTCACCGTTGTTCACCACAGAATAAGATGTGAACATCTTTTTGTCGGCACAGATGTGGCGAGTAGCACCAGTGTCCACCCACCATTCTTTAGGATTTCCAACAAGGTTTTCCTCGGAAACAACTGCAGAAAGATTTATGTCATCTACACCGTTAGAAATTTTGTCCACTTCGGTCATATTGGCTTGAGCAGATTTCTTGCTTGATCTTTTTTTTCTTTTACTCTTGCTACGACAATCTTTGGTCCGATGTGCCTCTTTGTCATAGATGTAACATTTTCCATTAAACTTGTACTTCTTAGTTTCCTCTCCTTTAGAGCCTTGTGAGGAACATTCTCCAAAAAACTTCTGTTTATTTGCTTTTGGTGCATGTTCCACCACATTTGCCTTAGACTCCATTGGATGCTTATCAACCCGCTTCTCAGAATTGCAGTTGTCCTCCTCAATCCTCAAACGCATGCACAATTAATTTCTCCAAAGTCATTTATTTGCGCTTGTGTTTGAGGTAGTTCTTGAATTCCTTCCAGCCTTATAGTAATTTTTCAATTAAGGCAACAACTAGGAAGGATTCACTGCGAGACATGCCTTCTGCATGAATGTCATGCAGAATAAGTTAGAGATTTTGAACTTGACCGATCACAATTTTTGAATCAATCATCACAAAATCCAAAAATTTGCCAACCACAAATTTCTTTAAGCCAGCATCTTATGTTTTATACTTTTTCTCCAAGGACTCCCAAAGTTTTTTTTCCATCTTGATAGGACTATAGATGTTGTACAATGTGTTATCAAGTCTGTTCAAGATATAGTTCCGCTAAAGGAAATCAACATGTTTCCAGACATCGACTGCAATAACTACTTGTCGGTTAGTTTCATCCTCTTTTAGAGTGGGAGCATTCTCACGGAGAAAACGTGTTAGGTTAAGAGTAATAAGATAGAACATCATTTTCTACTGCCATCTTTTAAAATTAGTTCCTAAGAACTTCTCTAGCTTTTCACCATGATTGACTGGTACAGTCACAACAAGAGGAGGGGTTGAGCAATTGCTGTCACCACACCAGTACTAGTTTCAACATTAGTTTGACTAGTTACAATAGCCAGGAATTCTAAATTATAAAACAAAATTAGATTTAGAATTTTATACTACATAGAAAATTAAACCATAAACATAAAATTTAATTCTGTAAAAATAAAAGAAACAAGAATTGTAACTTTTATTTCCAATTAATTTGAAAATAAAATTTTATTTAAATAAATTAATTCCACACAGAAAAAACATTTCTGTAACACTTCAAAAATTAAAATACTGAAAACAGAATTTTAATTAACTTAGAAATTATTTCTGAAAATCAAAATTAATTTCTCACCAACTTCATAAATTAATATTTTGAAATTGTCAATGATAAACAATATATTACTACTATTTGTCAAAGAAAATAAATAGTATATTACTATTATTTGTATTTTATTACTTTGTAGAAGTACAGAAAATAAATTCCGTAAGAAGAAGAAAATAAGAAAAGGAAACAAACGAAAAATTATGTATAAATAGAATAATTCGAATCTGTCTTAAGATTGTTGGAACAATTTTCTGTGTATAATAAATAACTTGAAACAAAACAAATAAACAAAATAAATTACTTACATAATTTATTTACCAAAACAACTTATGAACAAGAATGATCAAGTCGAGTGTGTGATACTCTGTCCTTAAGACAGATTCATTCTGCTCAGGTGCTTACGAAATAATGACGTCTATCTCTCAGGATATAATGATCTTGAACAGATTGTATTAGTACTAAAAATAACCTATTTTGGCGAATCGTGTTCTATACTCTCAGAAATTTCTCTAAAATTAATATGAAGAATATATATATATATATATATATATATTGTCACGACCCAAACCCGCCTCTATAGGTTTAGCATCGTAACCGGCCAGTAATCCGTGATTACCAAAGGCCTGTTTAACAATAATGATAATGCTAAAATATAAAAGGACTGGCGGAAGCCAATCAATAATAACATATATCGTCCAATGACCTGTGAGGACCTGAATGGAAATAAACTTTCATATACATAGTTATGTCCACAAATACTTATGTCCATAAAATACATATATACAAGACAAAACACAAGTTAGGGAATTAAATCCCCTTATCAAAAACAGTATTAACAAAAGTCAAAAACATTCTTTCAACTTAGCAATATCAAAAGGGTGAATTTGAACCTTCCAAAAAGTCGTGACACATGTTGGTTCGGAACCTCGTGACGAGGCATAATAGCTGGATTGACAAAACAAGGGTTCGGATCGTCGCCACTATCTTTGATCCGGTGCTCGATCACCTATATATGTATATAGTAAACAGTGAGCTAGAGCCCAGTGAATAACAGTTGTGTAAAGAGGTTAAGAATAATGTACTTACAGTATTTGAAACAACTGATTATCAATAGAACATTTTCAATCAATATCTTTTTGTCAATCAATCGTTCAATTATTCAATTCAATCAATCATATTCATATAAGTCATACGTGGTACATCTAATAGCAACAATATAATAGATCTTAAAGACCAAACAATCAATTGATGGCCATCAAACAATAAGCAATAGTTTCAAGAATTAGAACTGACAGAGATCTTTGCAACAATAGCGATAACAATATCAATAATAATAACAATATGCTAAGGATGCCACGAATACAGTTTAGAAAATAGGATCATCATTCGATCGATAAAAAGAATCATTTCAAAAAATAATATAATTTATCAATCAGAAAATAAATACGATTGAACATATCTTTACAATAATGTTACTGTACTAACGGTTCGGCGTCAGACCTAAACAAATAAATTCAAGCATAACACAATTACAATCACATTCTTTCAATACTACTCAATTCGATTGTTCAATCTCTATTCGTTTCTCTCGTTCAATTCCCGTTCAATTCCCATTCAATTCTTTATTTTGTTTCGTGTCCTTAAAATGCATATGGAAAAACAATTTAAAATGATGTAAACGGAGGCCCGAAAGGTGGAAAAGATGAGCGGAAACAAAACTGGACCTGCAAGAAGTTGGGTCTTGAATGATGAATTTTTTTTGTCTCCAAAGAGCTAATTTCATCACTATAAATATTTGTGAGGACATATTTTCCTCACCAATTTTGTCATTGAATGTTTGTTACTAAAAATTGCCGTGAAGGAAAATAATTTCTTCACCAATGAAATTACTTTAGCAACGAAAATTTTTGTCACCAATAAAACAACATTTTATCACCAAAAATCATTATTTTCGTCACCAAATAATTGTCTAGTACTGTATATATAATTTTAGTTGACGAATAAATTTGTCACATATGTTAATCATTAATAAGGAAATAATTTCGTCACAGTATCATGTAAAGTTGACGAAATTTTTTGTCTCCAAAAGTCAAACATGAGTAACGAAACATATTTCGTTACAAAAATAGATATGCGTGACGAAATTTTTAGTCACCAAGCAACAAAATCAATAAAAACTTTCACAAAAAAACAACCATAAATTTTGTCACAAAAAATATTTATTAGCGACAAATAATCACTTTGTCATAATAACAAGTACATATGATGAAAAAATTTGTCACTAAACTTGTTCCATATTTTATATTTCAATTTAAATTATTATTTTAACCTTGCTCATATCCCAGTAACCTTCTAAATGTATTAAGAAATCCACTAGCTATTATAAACCACTCCACACAAAAAATTCGCTAAACAATTTATATTACAAATCAAAATATATCCATCAAACAAATTTAATAACAATTCATTAACTATAACAAAGAAGATCACAGCAAATCCCAAAATGAAATCAACACTTGATCTTGAGTTGCAAGTAGAACTAAGTATCAATCCATAAAAAATAAAAAATAAAAAATAAATAAATAAATAAATAAATTTAACACTTGATCTTGATTTACAAGTATGCTTCCAAATGTCATCAAAAATCAATCTGCAAAAAAAAAAAAAAAAAAAAAAAACATTAATATATTATCAATTACATATAAACTCATACATAAATAATTTTTATATATGCGTAAACCAATTTAGCAAAAATGCATTTTCTACTAAAACTTGACTTTCATATGTACTAAATCACAAAACAACAGCTAATCTAATTGAGGGCAAGTTCTTGTAAGTTACATGAACACCTATGAACCTGCCAATATTGAAAACAATCAAGCAACATGATGACTTTTATTGTCATATAGAATGGTTCAATGAAACTTGGATCTTTCTTGTACTAACTCCAATTTTCTCCACAAATTTCACTATCTACTAGCGGATGTCCCTTTGATACAATTTCACTATCTCACTCACTGTTTCTCCAACGTTGCTTAGAAAGAAATGAGAAATACCGATATGGTTTGATTGTTTTTAATGGGTTTTCAATTTCACAAAATTTGAACTAAGATAGATTGGCATAAACAATATGAAACTAAGTGTTTCAGTATCTTATGATCATTTTCAATGTTTCAATGTTTGTACTAGCAATTTAATAATGTTGCAAAGTTTCTCTTGATTTTAGACCCTTCAGCATGTGCTGATCTAGCTATGGTGTTAATGCAGAAGGGATTGGCACATAGGTTCCTTATTGGTAAAAGGTAGCCTAATTGAGTTCGAAAGTGTAAGTTTCTTAAACAGTTGTGCTTTAATTAATATATACTAACCAACATGAGAAAAATGAAAAGATAAAACAAGATGGACTTACCAAAAAGGCGATCTACGAGTTCATGGGATGCCCCCTCCCCTAAATTGTCCGTTGAAACCTTGTTTCTTAAGAAACTCCATGATACTTGACGTTATCTCCAAATGCTCCTCACTCAACTCATTCATCTTTGCTATCACATAATTTTGTGCTTGAATTCATGTTTCTACGCTCTAATTTCGTCTTTTTGTGACTGAATTTCCTCCTTTTGCTCTTGTATTTCCATCTCCAGATGCCTTACATAGTCACAGTCAGTAGAAGCAGTGGTAGTCCTGACCAAGGACGAAGGCCTCAAACCAAGTCCTTTAACATATCCCGACCTTCACTTGAGCACCTTCATAGATAGCTCCTCTGGAGTAATTGGAACCACACCAGGTTCGGAGCAATGTGCATCCAGGAACTTTATCATATTGTCCTGCCATTATGAAAAAAATAGAATAATGAATAAAGATACAATAAAAATTGTAGTCATCCTAGCACAAAAAGTAAATATAAGTAGATAATGGAAAATGTCTCGTAGATAATATTGATTGGTTAGTAAGATGGCACACAGAAAACCTAAGCAAAGCCAGCACAAAAGTAGCAGACAGCACAATAGGAGCAGCATAGAAATTGGCAAATAAAGGAGAAGCCTCCAACCTGTTAAAACACCACATATACAAGCACATGGGGGGCTATTCCTATATATTACAAGGGTCCAAATACATTATATTTTGTACAATATTTACATGAACTTTTCATCTTCATCATCATGTTTTCTTCAGATGTGCTCTTGGAAGGTAAAAACATCAAGAACTTTCCATCAAGGTGGCAGATGATCTAATTATTTTCATAGAGATTTATCTTCTCTATTGGATCTGAGCAAAAAACAGAGGAAACAAAGCTTCTCTTTTAGAATCAAATCTATCATACATTTCATAATATTTTCAACTTTCATTTTTGTTTTTTACAAGTACAACTTTCAGCTGAATCATGTTTTTCCCTTGCGAGAAAGTTGTGCAATATTAAAGCTAGAGAAGTAAAAACAGAAGGATGATTAAGGTCAAATCAACTCTAAGAAAAATAACCAGGTAAATACATCCCTTCTAGACTGAACAGAGACTGGATCAAATCAAATCTGGATCAAGTTTTCAAATAAGAGAAAAATAGAATAAATACTTTAAAAAAAAATTATTAAGTCAGCAATACACATGAGAGAAAAAACAATGATCACTAAAAGCAATTTTGTTCTTGAGCATCACCACCATGCAGCAAAAAACAAGAGCAACAGACATCAAATTTTTTGGGAGAAACAACATCAGAGAATTTGGAGCTAATTTCTCGTACAAATGCCAATCACCAACCAAAGCTAAACCAATACCAGATAAGATAAAACCAAAGAATTTGGTGAGTTCGTCATTTTAATCCATTATATCTGCTACCATGTCATTGAACTTGGTTTCTAAATTTGATCACTTCTCTAAGGCTTACTATAAGGCTTAGTTGAGCTAGAGCTTTTTCAGTAATTGTTCACTTTGGTTGTTATGCTTCTAGAAGGTATTTAAGGATTTGGAAGCTGGAGTTGTTTATGCTCTGATTTTTTAATAATTATCACTAAATAAGATATATCATATGATGATTCATATAAATAGTAATATAAAAAGATAATGAAAAATTAATAACATATAACATTGCTTTAAAAAAAAGACAACTAAAATACTTTGATGTTTTTTCAAAAAATAGCAAACTTCAATGACAAAAAATAAAAAATAAAAAAATGTCATGATGTCCAATTTTTTGCCATACATTTTACATAGTAAACATGGTCATTCTCTTGATGTTAATCGCTGAATTTCTGTTGATCAACTAATGCAGAGGAAAACTAAAATTACCCAATCTCATAAATTACCTAAATTCATACATAGCTATAAATTATAAGCACATAATTCATGTTGTGAGTAGTGATCATGGCTGTGATCTTATGGGTTCATAAATGACATCTTCCATGCAATTAATCCAATAGGTGACACCTTAGCCAGAGGAAGAAAGGATGGTCCAGATTTGAGAACTTCAGTTGAAAGCTATAGACTCCTTGGCACAGTTCTTTTACCATTTTGAATACTGATTGTCCATATGACCAAGGGACAACCCATCTTGACTATGTCCTATCATGATGTTGCCACTGTTGCCACATGCCACCCAAAGGGAAGTTCTAGCACATTAGTATCTCTCTTGTTCTGTTTCCCCCTGTCTCTAGAAGTGCTTATAAGAGGGAAGGGGACAAACATACCAACAGCACCTAGAAAAAGAATATATACATATAAATAATAAGGCTTTGTTGGATTAGACTACAATAAATAGTCAGGATTTTATGTGAGAAACTATGTAAGTGGTCTGAAATCCTAAACAATTCAAGAAAAAAGGGAATTAGATGCCAGAGTTTAAAAATTAGACTGTAATCTTCCTTGGCCAAATGACTTGATATTCACCAATGCCACATAGTCCTAATAATTCAATTAATAATAAGATAATTAGATTTTGTTTGTGTTAAGTATAACATTACTGTAACTAGATGTTGCCTTGACCATATTTTGTTGCATATCCAACGGCAATTTATTATGGCTTACAAGAAGAGACTGTTGTATATGATGGAATAAGAAGAGACAGAAAGACATTCCCCTGCTACTTGAATCACTCCAAAAGACCGAAACAATCAAAATTGGCATCCCTTATGGAGTCCATAAGAACTACACATTCATGAGATCACGGGTTTTCAGAAAAGAAATTCAGAACCTTCATGGCTTTAATCCAAGCCAACTCACAACTGCAAAGTTCCCACAACACAACAAATTAGGCTTATGGACCATCTTTTTTTTTCCTTTTTTTTTCGAGTCTCTACATCATTAAATTCTCTACAATACTACGTACACAAAATTTTTACTAAAAAATTTCAATGTATGGTTCGGATTCATTGCTTCAACATACAAAAGTTAAATTTGAACCGTACATTACTAATTTTGGGAATAAAATTCTGAGCATAAATTCTTGGTTTTTGGCTTTTCTGTTAAATTATGTGGGTGGGGGGGGTAATGCAGAACACAGCAGCGCATGAGGATGGATTAGCACGAGGGTAAGCAGTGGTGCTAAGGACATCAGGGACTAAGGCTGCATTTTATAACTACAGTTTTTATGGTGCTCAAGACACCCTTTTATGATCACAAGGGCCTTCACTATTTCAATAATTGCTTAATCCAAGGCTCTGTTGATTTCATTTTTGGCCATGGCCAGTCCCTTTATGAGGTCAATCAGTCTTATTCCACTACTCTTTTTTCCATAGGAAACTTGATATGCCTTACCCAAACTTACCTAAAATCACACATGAAATTGTATCCTAATTGATCATTAAAACAAGTTGAAAATGAAAAATCAAATATTTCTTGCAAATTTGATTTACAAATGGCTTCTACAACTTTTTTATGTTGAAAATGATACACAATAACCTCATTTGGAATGCTATTTCAAATGTATTTCTCAATAGACACAACCATGCTATCACAAATTCTTTGGTCACCCATTCAATTCACAAAAAAATAGCAGAAAATGCCCCCTCTACTATGGTAGTCCTCCTGATAAGTAACAAAGATAGGCACTTATAAATTACCACAACTTAAACTGTCTAATTGCTCTCAATTACTATATTCAAACTGAAAATATATGCAAAATACAAGATGCCCATAAAGAACCAATAACATGGCAAGCACATGGAAACTAAGATGAACATAACCTTTAAATACAAAATATCGTCTGAAGAAATCACGTATGGGACACCGCGTGTCTCATTAGTTTCAAAAAATTAGGGAAAATATTAATTCTAAAAATTAGGGAAAACAAAGATAGAAAAACAGAGAAATTGAGTGAGAGAGAGGACCATACCTGAAAATAGAAAAATAGAGGAATTGAATAAACAAAGTGCACCTTCTTGCTCATGCAATATGGAAAGCAATGTGTTTCTTAAGCAAACCAAGTACAAAAGCAAACCGAAAGATCATTAAACATGATAACAACTTCATCAACCATAAAAGATATGGGAACGAATATCATCACTTAATCCTTCAATAAAGTTAATTAACCCAATGAAAAGTTACTAATAACTACGCTCTAATAATTTTCTCTCATGAAATAAGCAAAGAATAAAACATGGAGTGACAAATGATTCTTTTGTTACAATATATTGGCTTTCTAATAGCTTGAGATTCTGTAAAGACCTTCAAAATAAGATGTTTGAGCTGCTTAAGCCCACTCCCATCTTCTGAGACAAACTACTACCATTAACTGCAGCTAATCTTCAAGCTTAAACATATTATTATGCTAACCATCAACTAATCCCTTTGTCAATTTAACCAAAAGGCCATTTCTTAAGGAGAGGACGGTCCAAAAGTCAGAGTAATGGAACACTTGCCTCGGCAAGTCTATACAATTGATATGTTAATGATTATTTTGTTATTCACATGCAAAAATGCATATAATTTTAACTATAGGAGTGGTCAAACTTATGACTAATGGGCCAAACAATGAGTGTCAATATACCGCCCAATTTAGCAAACAAAGAAAAACTAAGCACCAAGCCTACACCCACATCAAAGCTATACAGCAGCACTCCACAATAAGCATGCTTCCATTCAAGATGCTATAACCCATCACAATCCTTAATAGATTTCAATCTATACACAAAGTCCATAACAGAGTAATCAACTTTGATCAACTCACTTAACTCCAATCAATTAAGCTGAGCCTTCCAAGCTCTGCAAGTATGATGGATATTGGATAGACAAACACTTGAAAAACAAATGTTCAACTAATCAATTTAGTAGCAATTGAAGAAATTCTTCAAAGACCATATAAAACACAAATAATGAAATATACAAATATGTGTACTACTTCATGAAATCAAGCACAAGTAAAACTGCTTATTAAAAAAATAATGAAAACATAAAACTATTACAAAACTTTGAAAATGAAAACAATACTATGATATGCAAAATTTTAGGTTATATGCAAGTTACTCTATGAAACCCATTTGTGGGAGTAACAGTTACAATTTGCGTTGTAAACTCATTTGGGGGAGTAATAATTTTAGAATTTCGCAACTAATAATTTTACTTTGATTTTCATTGAGTGAGCCAAATTGATCGTAAATCTTCCAAAAAGAAATTAATCAAAAAAATTTTATAATGAAAACAAAATCATGAAACCCCAGAATCAAAAGGGCAAGAGGAAAAAAAAGAACTAGTTCCACAGATTTTGGGACAAAAATTTCACAGGAATTAATTGCAATTTCTTTATAATGAAATGATGAAACCCCGAAATCAAAAACATAAAATAACAAATCACCACAAATTGACAAATATGTGTGTGTGTGTGTACACAAACAGTAACAGTGAATTCAATCAAGTTTAGTGAATGTAATAAAAGATAAAGAAGAGATGTAGGACAAAAATGAAGGTGAAAAGAAAAAATTAATAGAGTAAATTACGCAAACACATATATAAACCATGAAACAAAGGAAAGATCTTTTACTTGAGGGAGTCGAATTTGGAGATTAAGAGCGAATTTGGAGATCACAGAGGGTCGTCGATCTAGAGCATCAGATTCAAGCCTTGAAGATCAAAAATAAAAATAAATAAATAAAGTGAGAGAGAGAGAGAGAAGAGAATACATACTAATGTTAGGGTTTACGCGTTCAACAACTTGCTCAGCAAATTCGAGCTGTCTGGAATCCCTGGTTCCTCATATCATAGTGTGCCTCGACATTGATGCTCTGCAGATTCGTGCTCTTGCCGGTGGAGGAGTCGGAATGGGAGTGAGATGAGTAGTGCGAAGATGGAGAGAGAGAGAGAGATTTGAGTGTGAAAATGAGAGACGAGGGAAAAAGAAATTCTAGGGGCCAAAGGGTTTGAGGAATTTTGGAAAATTTGGGGATTTTGGGTCAACTATTTCTGAGAAATAAAAAAAAAAAAAAAAAACAAAGGATTCATTCAAAATGAAAGAGTATTAACAAATAAATTATTAGTGACCAAAATAATTAGGTTGCCATAAATGTAGCCACGTTTTTGCAACTAAATAGCTGTTGTCGCCAAAAAGTTATTTTTGGTGACTAAAATTTTAATCACCATATATTAACATCGTCTCAAAAACTTTTCCCTTGTTCCCGCGTAAAAATTTCGCCTCGCACCAAACCCAACCACAACCAACCATATTAACTAGTCGCCAATAGTTTAGTTTTTGGCAACCAATCAATATATGGTTGCCGATTATGTAAATTTAGCAACTAATTTATATTATGTTGCCGAAAATAGTCGCCAAAAATTTTTTTTTTGTTGTAGTGAGCCAACTTGTGTTTTGTTTTCTAGTTTAAAAAAAAAAAACAAACTTGTGTTTTGTTTTAAGAGAGAGAGAGAGATTAGGGAAAACTGATAAACACAAAGGGGGGAGGGAATTAGTAGTTAATTTTTTTTTCATTATCGCCTAATATATCAAAATTTTCCTTCCAAAATTAGTGACAAAATAATTTTTTCACCAAAAGGTCTCAAAATATTAAAAATTATTAGTTCGAAAATATATTTCTCATCAAGTGATTTTAAAATATTTAAAATTGTGTTTTTTCATTAAAAAAATTATGTAAAATTATTGATGACGAAAATATATTCCTCACTAATAATTTTACAATTTGTGACAAATTTTTTTCTCATCAAAAGTCTCAAAATTTTGGTGCCCCAAAAAAAAATTAGCGGGAAAACCTTCAGTGACAAAACTTAATTTTTCCTCACCTAAAAAGAAATATTTATTGACAAAAATAAATTTCGTCAACTATTATTTTTATTTTTTTATTATATGTGACAAAATTTTATAATTCATCATGGATTATTTTTATTTAGTGATGAAATTTATTTTTTTTCACTACTTTTCGTCACCATAGATTTCTTTTGTTGTATGCGGTGACCACCACGACACCTATGAGCAGAATACACAATAAGCACTGCCCTGTTTTCTGCACGTGTGGGGCTTCAAGCTGCACGTGCGATTCTAGAAAACCTAGAACCTAAAAATAGCTCTTGTTTTTGGACCTTTCTCTTTTTAAATGCTAACTTCATATTCATGCAATTCAACTCAAAACCCATGAAATTAACGTTGACTTACAAAGTCTAACATCAAACACAAGTCATGACTTTAATTTAACTCAAGTTTTCCAATGTAAAGCAATTAAACATTTGGAATGAAAAGTGTAGACATAGATATACAAGTTTGAACTTTTAAAGCTTCAAACCTCATAAAATATCCTTTCAATTTGAAGGCTCATGCATGAAGTGAAATGTACAAGAACAAATTGTCATGGAATTATGCATGCATGTTAAATTTAGGAGTTAATCCATTCAATTCCTCCATTTTAAGGCATGCATGTCCTAAGCTCTCAATATCATGAACAAACCTCTAATTAAACATGAATTTCATCCTAGTTCAACTCAACACCTAAAGGATCATGAGTATAGTATCCCAATTTCATGAAATTTGGTGGAGAATTCTCACCTTACTTGATTCATTTGTGAAGATTGACCCTTAGCTTTAATGTTCTTCTCAAACCCTTTCTTTCCCCATGTTGAATTCTCTTTCTAGGCACCTCTCTCAAGTCTTCTCTACAATGACCACTACATCTCTTCTTCAACGTGATGAGTAATACACTAAGGGTGTGTTTGGTTTGTGTTTGTAGAGTAGTTTTTGAGATAAAAAGTACGAAAACTTGTTTGGTTTGCCTTTTTTCAAAAATGGTTTTGAAAATTTGTTTTGGGGAGAGAGTTTTAAAAAAAGTGATTGATTTGATGTGTATGAGAGAGAGAGTGATTTTGGAAAGTAGGTAACCAAACAAAATTTTAAGATTTTTTTTGAAAAAATTTGTTTGGTTTTGATTACTCTTGAAAATTTGTTTGTAGAGAATTTTTCCCAAAAAATTTTTCTGAAAAACAAACCAAGCAAGGCCTAAGTCTCTCTCTCTCTCTCTCTCTCTCTCTCTACGTGTAGTAAATAGCAAGCTCCACTAGTTCTCAATTGATAAGTAGGATTTTTTTTTTTTCTTTTTCTTTTTTTTTAATTCTTTTATTCTTATTCTTCAAGGTTAACTTAGGCTAATAATAAATCACATTATTTAATGCAAATCAAATTCACACAATTTAATTAATCCTCGTCATCTTATAATCTTAATTACACTAAATTAAATTATACTAAGGTGAATTATGCTCTAATCCCTATCCAATTTCGTGATTCTAACTAGTTAAAATTAACGAATCAGACAGGTCTAATTCATACATATCTCCATATATTCATAATAATAATGCAATATCAACCAATGCAAGCATATATCATATGGCACATAATTCACAATTGGCATATAATCACATAATTAACTTTAAGAACACAATTATTATAATTAATTTGCTTAATTAAGGTGGCTGTTGTCACACACACACATATATATATATATATATATGCAAGAGAACAAAATGGAAGACAACAAGAGAATTTCAAAATGATCAAACTGCCGGAAGAGTTCTTGTACTTATAGGCTAAGTGGTGGCTTTTTGGAAGGGCCGAACAAGTATATACTACAAGAAGTTGGGTCTTGAATGATGAAATTTTTTTGTCTCCAAAGGGCTAATTTCGTCACTATAGATATTTGTGAGGAAATATTTTCGTCACTAGTTTCGTCATTAAATGTTTGTCACTAAAAACCACTGCGACGAAAAATAATTTCGCCACCAATGAAATTACTTCAGTGACGAAATTTTTTGTCACCAATAAAACAAGATTTTGTCGCCAAAAATTTTTATTTTCGTCACCAAATAATTATTCAGTACCATATTTATAATTTTAGTTGACGAATAAATTTGTCAAACATGTTGATCATTGATGAGGAAATAATTTCGTCACAGTAAGATATAAAAGTGACGAAATTTTTTGTCTCCAAAAGTCAAATGGATGACGAAATATATTTTGTAGCAAGAATTTATACACATGACGAGATTTTTAGTCCCAAACAACAAAATCAATGAAAATTTTCATATATAATCTGCAATAAATTTTGTCACAAAAAATATTTATTAGCGACGAATAATCACTTTGTTATAATAACAAGTACAAATAACGAAACAAATTCGTCACTAAACTTGTTCCATATTTTATATTTCAATTTAAATTATCATTTCACAAATATCCCTGCTCATATCCCAATAGCCTTTTAAGTGTACTAAGAAATCCACTAGCTATTATATACCACTCCACACAAAAAATTCACTAAACAATTATATTATAAATCAAAATATATCCATCAAACAACTATAATAATAATCCATTAAGTATAACAAAAAAATCATCAAAGCAAATCCCAAAATGAACTAACGTGGAGTCCACAAAAAAAATCAACACTCAATCTTGATTTGTAACTACAACTAAGTATCACTTAAGTAAAAAAAAAAATTCAACACTTGATCTTGATTTGCAAGTATGCTTCCAAATATCATCAAAAATCAATCTGCAAAGAAAATAAACAAGAAAAACATTAACATATTATCAATTACATTGTATAGACCTCTCTATCCATGTCAATACAAATTGTGTACACAATGAGTCTAGCTTAACAACCAGAAGTTCCTTTGTACATAGCAAGCTCCTATTAATCACATCACTAACTTAGAGCAACTCCAACACTGCCTAGCAAAAATACACGAGAGTAAACACATAATTTTGTCTCTACTTTGAAAAAAGTTCATTTCCATGTTGTAACTGTATCCTATTTATTAGTGATAGTCAATTTTCTTGTCTTACTAAATATAACAATAAAAATAATAATAGTAATCAATATAGTATTTGTCAAAAAGTGTTAATAGTCAAACTACTTATAGTTAAATTAGACTCTCCATACCATTTAACAACCCACTATAGTCTTAGCAGCACGGACACAAATAAGTAGTGTCCATGTAGAACACTGCTTCAATACCTACACTTGGACACACCTAGAGACTTGAGATACTTCTTGGCTGTGTACATTATTTAATATGCTTTGCAACTTTGGGGCCTCGGCTAATACTTACTCAAAGACAAAGCCAACAATTGTAGCCATACGAATAGCCTTATTAAAAGGATGAACATACCCAAAAGCACCCAACCATTTATTCAAATAAATAGATAAAATAAGAAATGCAAGACACTGGCATCATAGACATGGCTGCCACAACTCAAGTATGCAATGGACATTTTTTAATTATTATCATGTTTATACGCAATTTTCATTATTCTAATGTTGTCGCCATGTCTATGTCTTGTTTTAGTATTTATATCTATGTTGTGTCATGTTCGTGCCAAGTGTCTGCCTCTTTGCTATCAAGAATCTGTTTCTGAGCACGCATAACTTTATTTTCCTATATGTGATAGGCTGTTACAAAATGAAGAAAAATCCACTCATGATTGCTTGAAAACCTTTTTCAAACTTGAGTTTTCAGCCAAAAAAGATTCTCCATCCAAAAAATAAAAGATTATAATGGTCTCCAGTAAACATACAACATCTACCAAATATATCTACATCATGTATAGAGAGAAAGGTCAGCAATTAATGTAGCTATAAAAGTGACCAAAAGTATTTTGAAATGTAATTGCAATTGAGGCAAATATGACTTTCAAAAACAAACCAGAATTCTAGAGAATATGAAGCCCCTAACTTCTTGGTTGAGATCTTCAGTGTGAGGATCTTCAAGAGTTACACCTGCATCTCCAACATCATATTGTTTAAGAATCTATTCCTAACTCAAATCAAAGAACTGAAACACTGTACCTATAGGAATAAGATAAGGACAATATAGATAAGTTAACAAATAACAGATTAAATTCACACATTCTGAAGTAAAATATCACAATTTAGAAACGCACAACTTTGTTGGAAAGGCATCAGAAGAAGAGTTGACTGGCATAAATCATTTT